AGAGCCTCAATTATAAAATTAGTTTAGATATTATTTTCCTTTTCCATCATCTTGTCATAAGGGACCTTCCTATACAACCCATGTTAGTTTGGACCTCTGGGAAGCAGACACCAAGATGGAGTTGGAGATACAAGATATTTATTGGGAGTAATCCTGTGAAAGATACAGAAGTAATGTAAGTAGGCAGGGAAAATCTGTAAGGCCATTAATTTCTGCATAGTGTGAATCATGATATAACCAGTAGATTCCCATGGTCATGGACCCACACCTATACCTCTTTTACTGAATGCTATAATATGTGAGAATTCATGCCTATTGATGGACCAGGTACTTTGTAAGTCTCCAGTCAGTGGTAGTTTTCCTGAGGTTCTGGGGATAGAAAAAGGCAAACTCGTACTTGAAACTGATGTTGGTTCTTCTAAGAATGAACTGCTCATCTTTCCAGGGCAGAGTGGGCCAAAGCTAATCAAAATGTCAGAAAGTGTTTGATTGGTCTCCACAAGGAACAGTACCATATTGGAAGGCTCAGGTTTGGTCTCTTGTTAGCACATTGGAAATTCAGAATAGTTGAATTAGCCTGAATCAGTAGTCAGATCAGCCTTGTTAAGTGAAAGTTCATCTCTGCTCTAGTGACCACTCTACTCATGAGTTCATCATGCCACCGAGGTGCCTGATGACAAAGCCCAGCTAATGTCAACTGAGTCATCTGATCTATTTGGTCAGTGCCTTGTGACTGATACTTTTCTGGTGGGCATTATTAAATAGGTATTTTTTTTTTTAAAAAAGTCATGCTTCCTGTTCATTCCTATAAGCCCCTTACAGAGATCTCCTTATCTCTGATTTTTTAGTCTTTTTCTCTTCTCACCAGCCAGCCAGGCTATTCATTACAACAGGTAAGTCAAGAAAATGTTCACCTCAGTCTTTCTCCTTCTACATAAAGTAGCGATCAGGACAACTACTCATAGTTCCATCCGTTGGAAATTTTCTCCCTCAACACTGTCTTTTTAGATCAACCCAGGGACTGTTTTGAACGCTTTTATTGATAATAAACCAGGTACAGTCACAAAAGAAACAGCAGAGGCTCAGGAAGACAAAGTTCATTCTATTCACAGGTTCTAGAGAGAAGACAGAATATCCCACACAGATATGATTTTGTTCCCTGTGGGGCATTTGGTGGTTTGGATCCATTTTTTAAATTTCTGACTGGAGAAGAGATGCTGCTATTGGTATTAACTTGGGTAGAGGCTTAGGACGATGCTAAACATCCCATCCTTCAATGCACAAGATGTCCCCTTACATGAAGAAATATCTGGTTACAAATACTAATAGTGCGAAGATTAAGAAACCTGCTGCAGAATGTGTTGCCTTCAAACTCTGAAGAGGCCTACATACCAGATGCTGTGCAGTACAAGACAAAAGATGCAGCATATTTTAAATGATTTGTTCTTAGGTGCTTACAAATTTAGGAGGTAATTTATAATTTAGAATTGCTCTTTTTTTGAATTGAACCCTTTATTATGATTAATTGTTCTCTATCTCTACTCATGTTTTTGCCTTACATCTGGCTCTGTGTAATAGTCTGGCAACACCAGCTATTAACATTTATATTTGATCTTTTAAATGCTTTTGTTTACCTATTGACATAACCAACATTTCCTTATTCTGTGATTTGTCAAAATTAAGAAAACTTAATTTTCCTCATAATACTTTGCTAAATACAAGTGTTTAAAATGTTTGCATTTCTATTTGAATGAGATTGCCCTACAATTATATGCTTGTTGAACTTTCTTATCAAGATTATGCTAGTTTCATAAAATCAGTTTCCTTTTTTAGTTTGCTGAGAACTTACTCTAGAAGATCTCTATTATCCTTTCCTTAAAATTCAATAAATCCTTACAAATTACAAATAACTGAATATCAATATATTTGAAAGTTTGAAAAAAACCTTTTCCTCCCAAAGCACAATCTAACTTTTTGATAAACCTTTCTCTTTTACTCTCTGTATTTTTAGTTCTTGAGGTTTTATTCTATATTCTTTTTCTTTTTTTCTTTTTTTGTGATGCTGAGGGTTGAACCCAGGGCACCTTGTGATGCTAACCATGACTCTACCACTAAGCTAAACTTTCAGCCCCATTTCATTCTATTTCCTTCTGATGGGTCTTTCAGACCCATGAATTCTATCTTTAGCTGTGATTAATCAGTTATAAACCCAACCAATGAGTTTAATATAGGTTTTTAAGTTGAATGGCAAACGCATAAAAATTGTACATATACACGGGATACCATGTGATGTTTCTATATACATATATATACATTGTTATGTTTAAAACATTTATAATTTTTAACAGTTAAAATATTTTCTTCTAGCTTTTTGAAATAAACAGTAAAATATTGTTATCTATAGTCACTCTACTGTGCAATAGTACACCATTACTTCTTTTAAAAATAATTTTAAGTTATAGATGGACACAATACCTTTATTTATTTATCTTTATGTGGTGCTGAGGATCAAACCCAGGGCCTCACATATGCTAGGCGTGCACTATACCACTGAGTCACAACCCCAACTCCACAACATCCAACTCTATCTTAGAACCTATTGATCTACCCCTTCCTATTCACCTCTCCCTTCAACTCTCTTCATCCTCTGGTAACAATTCTACTCTGAATTTCTGTGAATAATATTTTTAGATCCATCAGGTCATGCAGTACTTACTTGTCTTTCTGTGTCTGGCTTCTCACTTGACATAATGATCTCTAGTTCCATCCATGTTGTCCTAAATGTCAGAATTTGCTTTTTATGGAAATACTGAAGAATATTCCAATGTGCTTATGTACCACTTTTTCTTTATCCATTCATCAGTTGATAGACACTTAGAATCTATTTGCATTTCTTGGCTATTGTAAATACTGCTTCAATAAACATAGAAATGCAGACATCTCTTTTGACAAATTGACTTCATCATTTAGGATGTATACCCAGTAGTGGGTTTGCTGGATTATATGGCAAGCTATATTTTTAATTTTTTGAGGACACTTTATACATTTTCTACAACTGTTGTATTAATTCACATTCTCACCAACAATGTGCAAGGGTTCCTATACATCCTCACCAACACTTGTGTCTTGATAATAGTCATTCTTATTGTAGTTAAGTGATACCTCATTGAGGTTTTGATTGGCATGTCCATGATTAGTGATGTTTAACATTTTTTTTCCATAGGGTTGTTGGCCATTTGTATGTCCTTTTGAGAAATATCTAATTAGGTGTATTACTCACTTAAAAATGTTTTTTGAGTTCCATGTATATTCTAAATATTAATCCTTTATGAGGCTTCCTTTGCCGAGTTTTTAGTTACTCTATGTTTGGCCCTACCATTCCATTTGGTACTTTCTGGTTACCTGGTAAACTCTTCATCTTGTCTCCTAGGTTAGGTAAACATAATTAAAAGCCTGTGGTTCTGTCAATTGTATTTTTAGTTGTTTTGCGTCCACACATGCCTTGTTACTTTGTGGTAGACATCTAATTTATAAAACTGCAGTTAATACTTGGAAGGCCTTGAACTCCAATTCCTGTCCACCTTTATCTGCAGGAAGCCATCAGAAGTATTTAAGTATTTATTCATCTTCTTGGATACTTCCTCCAGGAATCTCTCTACAAAAACTTCAAAGAATTTGCTCCCATAGACAAGTTCACCTAGGTTTCTGATGTCCTTCAAATTGATTTTTGAAACAATTTTGTTCACTTTCTAAATGCCCTCAATTGGGAAGTTGGTTCAAATCATCTTAACATTACAGCAGAAATCCCTTCCTGTTGAAACTATACAAGGATGCTTCTGAAATATAAAGGTACATGAAAAGGGTATAGATAACGGGTAACATTTACAAGTAATCAAATTTGGCTTTTAAAAAATTCCACTTATGTTCACATAAAATGCTGGCATGCACAGATACATACCAATATTGGCATAATGTATAATCTTGGTATGATGATTAATATATCCTATGCAAGAATATAAGTAACAGCAACTGGGATCATTGGAAGTCATCTTGGAAGAGGGCTTTAATTCTGTAATAAAGTTTGATCTGTGGTTAACAGTCTTTCTACATTTTGTATATAAGATTTCTCTTCTCCATGAAATTTTGGTATATGAATTCCTACTTTTGGGTTAAGGCTTTTCCATAGTCACTCCATTTGTATGTTTGGTGTGTATTCTTTTGATACCAGTTTACCTTAACATGTTCATAGGTCTCTCCAATATGAACATAAATGGATATGAGGCAAATAATCCTTTGGTGACCGTCTCCCCAAATATTTCTCCATTGATTGCAGATATTGAGGTGTGACTTTAAGAATTTCCCATGATTTCATTTTCTCCATTTGAATTCTCTGACATCCAGTAAAACTGAAGTCCTGCTCTCACAAATTATTTCTCTCCTATAAGATTCTCCAAAGGAACCTAAACTATCTGGTCAGTGTGGTCTAAATATTGGAGAAATCATTCATGAATTGACTATCATGTCTTTTGGACTCATTATGGTTCCATAATTTTTATATTTTTTATGTTAACTACATGTCACTTCATTAATCTATGAAGTGAAATATTTACTGAAATATTTACCTGCTAGTCATTAATATAGCATATGGAAATGTAATTACTAACCTCAAATACCTTAGTCATCCTTTAGAATAGAAATAAAGCTGTGAAAACAATTCAGTACTGAAGTATATATCCATCTATTTACTTTTAGATGCCTTGTTTCAATAATTTAGTTAAGTTTTTTACAAACACTCCACATAGCTTTTTTTAACTTAGTACTTACACCCAAAAAAGATAATTTACTTTGGAAAAAAAGTGATAGGAATAGAGAATATCATTCCTTGTAAAATTTTACTCCAATCTGTATTATTTTGAATTAATCTATCATTATTCCACAGATTAAAAATTAGAGAATTTAGTTATTACTAATAATCAATGCCAGGGATCAGTCAAGCATAGTTTGTGGGCCAAACTCAATTTTATTGGAACACATTCATGTTCATTCACTTCTGTATTGTTTATGGCTAATGGCAAAACTACAACAACAGAGCTGAATAGCTCCATAATGATTGTATGATTTGCAAAGTATAATATACTTACTGTCCTTTCCCAGAACAAGTTTGCTAACTCCTGATCTATACCACAAAAATAATACTTAAAATGGACTTTAGGGTAATCCAACAGTCATTTTTTAATTAAAGTACTGGGTGAAACAGATTTTCATTTGTATTTTAAAAGTACATTGCTACTAATAGTTTTGCTCACTTCAAATACTATAATACCAAAACATTCACAACTATTGTCTGATTACCAACAAATGTAAAATCTAGAAATGAAATTTCCAAGAAGTAAATCTGAGAAGATATCTAAAGACTATATTCTCTCAAATAATTAGTTTATAACTATTATGTTTTAAGATAGCTTTTTTAACAAATGGTGCTAGGAAAACTGGATATCCATATGTAGAAGAATGAAACTAGACTCCTGTCTCTCACCCTACACAAAAGTCAAATCAAACTTTATCAAAAACTTAGGAATTAGGTCATATACTTTGCAACTGTTAAAAAACATAGGATCAAAACTCCATCATATTCATGCAGGAACTGACTTCCTTAACAAGACCGCTAAGGCTCAAGAAGAAAAACCAGGAATCAGTAAGTGGGATGGCATCAAATTAGAAAGCTATGCACAGCAAAAGAAATTATTAAGAGCATGAGGAAGTGTCTGCAGAAATGGGAAAAAAAAATCTCTGCTAGCTACTCTTTTGATAGGGGATTAATGTCCATAAGAACTCAAAAAGGTTACCACCCAAAAACCAAATAACCCAATCAATAAATGGGCAAAATAACTAAATAGACACTTCTCAAAAGAAACACAAATGGCCAAATACATGAAAAAATGTTTAACATCTAAATGCAGATCAAAACTATACTGTTTAATCTCACTCTAGTCAGAAAAGAATTATCAATGCAAATAATAAAAACTGGCAAGAATGTGGGGGGAAAATCACACATATACATTGTTGGGGTAATTCCAAATTAGTGTAATTACTCTGGAAAGCAGTGTGAAGAGTCCTCAAAAAACTGGAAATGGAAATCAGACAGACCCAGCTTATTCCACTCCTTGGTATTTATCCAAAAGAATTAAAATCAGCATGCTACAGAGATATAGCCACAATGTTTATAGCAGCACAATTCACAACAGCCAAATTATGACACCAGCCCAGGTGACCATCAATAAATGAAAGGATTAAAAATGAAGTATATATACAAAATATAGTTTACTTAGCCATAAAAAAGAGTGGAATTAAGGCATTTGCTGGTAAACAGATGAAACTAGAAAAACCATGCTAAGTGAAAAAAGAATCAGAAAATCAAGGGTTCAATATTTTCACTCATGTGGAAAGCTAGAGCAAAATGAGAGTAGGGTGGGATCAGATATCATAAAGATATACAGATGATTAGTGAAGGAGACTGAGAGAAGAGAGAGGAAGGAGAGATGGGTGAGGGGAGAAAATACAGAATGAATTCAACAAAATCATATTATGTGCATGTATAAGTATACCACAATGAATTCACCCTTTATGTAGATTGATAAAGCACCAACAAAAAACAAACAAGTGAAAGGATGAAGAGCAGAGGAAAAACAGAGGGAGGGAGGGAGAATTGGGAAATGTAGTAGAACCAGGGACTGAAATGGAATAAAGCAAATTCTATGAATGGATGATTTTGTTTAAAATGAACAATTACTATGTGTAAATACAATGCACTAATAAATAAAAAAAATCACCTCATCTATACACTTAAAAATGAGTTCTATACGTATGACTGTGCTTGTTTCTGATTTCACTTATTATATGGAATTAAATGTTATAATAATTCTGCTTCTTTAAACACATGAATTGAGGAAAATAAAACAAATAAAATAGAATACCAAGAATCTGGAGTAAAAGGAAACTAAGAGCCACACATGGAAAGTTGGTAAAATATTTTCAGAACTTACAGCAAGAACGTGGAAAACACTAAACAGGACAAAACATTCACAATTCAAGGACACAAGAAAAAATTATCTAATGAAGAATACAGACACAATTAAAACTAATTTGGGTGAATAGTGAAGTAATAAACAAAAGGTCAATTGCTAAACCTACATCATTCATACTGATATAAAACAATATAGAAATAAGTTTGAAAAAAGTTAAAACTGAAAATTTAAACTAAATACCTGGCAAACTATCAGGACTGAAGGACCATTACTAAATTGCTCAAAATAACTTTCCAGTTGAGAGAATAAAATCAAAACAGAAAGTCTACACTGTGGGAATAAATCAAGTAAAAATGTTTCAAGTAAAAATTCTTAAACAGCTACTTACAAAGTGCATATATTGCAGGTCTTAATACTCCTAATTACAGGTAAATATAACAAACCATAACTGTCAGGATTATATTAATTTTAAGGGTAATATATTTATTAATAAAATTTTTTATTGACTATTGACTGGCTTTTCAAAAATCACCCCCACTGCCTTCAAAATTTCCACAGAACACTAACCTTATAACTTTTAATTAAGTTGTGAACAATATTAGATGTCATTGCTCTTCCTATCTTCTTCCTCCTGACAAAAATAAAAATAGCATGTTTATATGTAAGTGAAGTGAATCTTGCATGTAGAATAATGATGAGGTTCAACTGAATGGTGAAGATTCTCAAAGTTCACTAGTTAGACTTGAACTACTTTATAAAGACTAGTACTTGGATCATATCAAATGACAAGATGTTGGAATATGAGGTATTAATGCTTATAATCTTTTCAAGTATAAAACAATGCTACCATAAGAAAATGATTTTAAAGAGTAGCTTCTTCCCTTATTCAAACTTAGCAAATTTTATTTTCAGATATAATCACCCAAAAGGCTAAGAATTTCAAGAATTTAAATACAATAAAAAACTAAACATGTCCCAAATGTACTGAAACAAGAAAGAAGTTATGCAGCCTAAGAATTAAACTGCTTAACTAAAACAATTAAATTCAAGATAAATACAAAGATTCAAGTCAAACAGACCTCACCAGATCCATAGAATCTGACATTATACACTATTAAGGTTTGGCTTAATATTTCCAAACCACGAAAACAAAAATATTGTTATCCTTTAATTTTAACATCTCTGCCATAACTAGGATACACTTCAAAATATTTCCAGTGGCTCAAGAAAGTCTAGCCACAGCTCAAAATTCAGGTAATATTTGAATTTTAGAAATCTATACATAATCTCATTTCCCTGACCATTTTTAAAATCCAATTTTCATCTGTATACATGAATTTTAGATCTCCTTTTATGATACAGGGGAAGTGCAGTAATACATCTTCCTAATAAAAATTTCATATTAATGTCAATTTATTTTTCATATTTTACTTGAAAAAATTAGTTGACTTTTACCAACAAAATGGTAAAAATAGAGGCAACTATAACTTAGAATTACACAGCTTCTTAATGTTTTATTTATAGCACTCTTTGTACATCAGAAGCTTTACTGATACTTAATTTACTGCAGCATCCTCTGGTGAAGCACAAAATTACATTAATTATAAACAAAGAAACAAACCACTTTGACTTTTTAAAATCATATATATATTTATATCCAGTTGACAAATAGCATCACAATTATTACTGTATAAAAAACTAAAATTCACCATGGAAGCTAAGGCCTAAGTTCTTATTCCAATCAATCCCTTTTTATCTAAGAGATATTAGAAATTAGATTCCAGTACCTCAAAACAAACAAACAAACAAAAAACAAAAAAACCAAAAAAAAAGTCTACATTATTTACATTTGGTATGGAAAATAAAAGCTGCTTTTTGGCTAAGTTAGATTGCTGTTACCTACAGTATTTACATTGTAAATGTTAAGGGGGAAAAAAGTACTACTAAATACCATTTGAAACAGAAATATGTTGTGTGTCTGGAATTTTGTTCTAAAATTATTTGTATATTCTAATAAGTATCTGTGAATAGTACCTGACTTCTAAAAAATCTACTGGAAGTTTGAAATAGAGTACCACTATGCTTCTTTATATTGCTAATCTAGATACTGTTAAATCCAATATTGTAGTAACTGTTAAGCATTGAACTTTAAATGAAACAATGGCAACATGTGTAGATGGAATTTTATTTCATATTTTAAAATATAATGTCTTAATATTTACCCATAATAATGAGACTATCTACTATTCTTTAAATCCTTTAAGAAGTCTCATATATGATACGTCCCTAAACAGTGAAATCTTCTAGTAACTTACCAGAAGAAAGGTTAATTTGTTATTTTGTCTTTAGAATTATTTTGCTAATATTTAAAACATATCTAAACCCTTGGCAAAAACAAACACAATCAATTCAGTGTAACAGACTGAGCTTTAAACCGTACTTTAATTTTCAAAAACTGTAACCTACTGGTTGATTGAACCAAATGTAGAATATTTAAAATGACTCACTATGAAGTGAGTCAAATCAACAATAGAAATGCATAGAAAAGTAGAGATAAGATTTGGGAAAGGTGTAAGGGAGTTCATATGAAAAATGGTAAATGCTAATTTTAATAACAAAAATGATACTAAATGCAGATGAATGTTAAATTAACACAGTATAAAAGAGAATAGCTTAAATAAACTGGGATTCACATATTACAATAGCAAAGTTATGACAGAATGGACCAGACACGAACAGTTCTGAAAATTCTTTTCAGCCTACTTCCAATAGAAATAGTCAGGCTTTTTTCCTGTACATAGTTTGATGCTTTGTCTATACCATATATAGTAGAAAAATAAATTCTTTAGCAACCTAGAAACAGTTTATAAAACTCTTAAAGTTTAATTTTCTTTGCCAGACATGCCAATGTTAAACTGACAGCTATAAATTAAAGCTATATAGACAATAGGTATAAGTAATATAGAACAAGTTAAGAATACTACATTTACCGGATTTTTTTTTTTAAAAATTACTGTACTTTCTTAATTCCTGTGTGCTTTGCAATAGGAATAATAGGGACTTTGTTTTCTTAGAAAAGATAATAACATGTAAGAGTATAACACAAATAAGATAATTTATAATATACATGTACTTCAGCAGCCTGGTTCATGTCAACATCTTGGTTCTGAAGTTAAAATTGGAAGTACAATGCCTAGGACATAACAGTTAGGAAAGAATATTTTAGAAAAAATGGAGCAAATCAAACTCTTAGGAGCCTTGAATCTCAAAATCATCTATTTACTATCACACATGTAAGATAACCTTAAAATTGCAGTATGGATGAAGATTACAACATTGACCAAAAAAATTTATTCTTTACTACATAAAATATGATGTAGCAATGAAATACAAACCATTTCCTTTTTTCAGAAAAAAAAATGGTATGGTTTGATAAAGAATTTTGAATAAAGCCTAACAAAATTTACCTGTGCCATCTATTCCAAATTTTTTTCCATAATTTAGTGCTCTGGTTGTATCTTCACTAACAAAATATTTAACCCCAAAAGCAGCAGTGATTTATAGCAACTCTGGTACCAACATGAAAGGAAAAAATTGGTTTAAAAAATGGTGTAAAAGCCATTTTGGATTTTAGTACAACACATCACAGAAAAGAATATGAATACAAGTTTGTAATTTTATATACACACACTCCAAGGAGTCTGTCAGTACCCAAAGTATTTTTATTGCTATATTAGCAATGGATTTTTTGGATATGTTTCTAAGGGCCACATAAAAATAGATTCAAGGAACAGATTAAATTGAAGTCCTAGATTAAAATGTTTGGTTTAAAGAATTTTCTACAACAAATTTCATGTTTATGAAAAGTTATATAACCTTATATGAAAATGTCATGAAGTATTTCTCTACACTATACTAAATGTATTCCCCAAGAGGGAAAAATTAAAATATCTAAAATATATTAGATTAAGATTACAAGACCATCATAGATCTTTTGAACATGCATCTGTTTACAGAATTAACCGTATACAAAATGTTTATTTCATTATGGACCATAAAGAAATGAGTTGGTGACAACTATCCTTTGCACAACATTATCAACTCACTTTAGCCACAAACATGTCCTTGGTATGTTCATAAAAGAAATAGGTTCATTTATCCCTCATCAAATCATCCACAGGTTTACTCAGAATTAATGATGAAGGTGTAGAAATGTGAAATATGCTGTATAATTTTTCTTTCTTTTAAACAACATCCCAAGCATGGCATTAAGTAGCCTGAAATTAAGAAATACTTAACTGGGCTTTTAGTTATCTATGCAGACTGCTAGAATGTAAATTAAGTTGTCCAAATTAGCACATCAAATAACAAAACCAGCCATAAAGCAGGCTGAAAAGCATTATATGTTTCATATATGTGAGTTTTTAAATCAATTAATTTCTATAGAAAAATTTTATTCACAATATAATGTGACAGAAATTGCCACAAGAATGATATACTGATTGCAATAAGGTTGCATGCAGCAGTAGCTTTGTATTTTATAGCTATTTTTGTTTATAAAAATTAAACCTCTCCAGTCATGCTTACCACATGGTCTTAGATTTGTAATGTAAGTGAATGAGGAATACCATACAGTTCAGAGAGAAAATGTCTCATCATTTTGAATGTGAATTATCTGTACGAAACATATTCTACTGAACCCTGAAACATGCATGTGTAGACTTGCTTTTTTTCAAATTTCACGCTGTCTGCAATCACTTTTTATTTATATAATACCAAGAGGATCCGTCTGTAATTGTGGTTGTATCAGCTGAGGTTGCAATGGTGGTGGTAACTGAAGGGGTACCATTGATTCAACCAACTGTCCTGGATTTGAAGGTGGTGGAGGAGCCACAGTGTTCCCAGTATCTACAATTTCTCCATTGTAAAAGAAAAACTGACACTGTTGAATGAATGTTTCAACAACAGATTGATGGATCTTAGTGGTAGACAGAAACTCTCGATTTTCAAAATCAGGTCTCATCAGGGTTGGCCAAAAACAGATGGATAAGTTGTCTGCTGTCATTAGGTTGATTTTATTTTGCTGACTAACCCTGAAATTATGAAAGGAAAAAACAGAAATCAGAACTCGTGACAATTACAGAATCCTAGAGCTAGAAACTATCTCATATTAGTGTTACATAAATTCAATGTTAGAATAAAAGGTATCTTTCTCCTTATTCAACTACATTTTGAAAAAGGAAATGAAAATAAAAATCCATATTGTGAGAATGTCAGACAGTCTTTTTAAAAAGTTATGCCTTGGAAGCCTTCTTAATTTGTGTATATATGTTGGGAAACCCTAAATTCATAAGACAATTATGAGATTAAAAACAAACAAAACCCCACACATTCTTAAACTATTATGAGATTAAAAAATAACCAGGATATGCCATCTCTTTCAATGAGTTTTAGAAATTTTTTTTAATATAACCCAACCAAGAATATTTTGAACTTTCAAAACACTTATTTTTTTGCATTCCATAAAACAACCTTTCTTGGGGAAAAGTTGGAGGGTGGAGGGGCATTGAGGATTGAACTCTGGAGTGCTGAGGATATCACTGAGTTATATCCCTAGCCCTTTTAAAAAAATTATTTTTTTGAGACAGGGCCTCACTAAGTTGCTCAAATTTATAATCCTCTTGCCTCAGACTTCTGAGTGGCTGGAATGAGGGAGGTGTGCGCCACTATACCTAGCTTCATAAAGCAATCTTTTAAATCCATTAGTATATTGTTAGAAACATCATCTGAAAGACAACATTCAGTTCATGACACATTCTACCTTAAATTTCGTATGTGATTTAATAATAATTTACAAATGATCATATACAATATTAAGTCAATGGCATACAGTCCTTTAAATTTGGAGGCAAGCACTTCTATTATCTTTAATAAGCAAAAAATTTAAGAGGCAAATCTTGGGCTAGAACTCAAAATTATTCAACTGGGAAAGATCTTTGGAGTTAATCTAACTTTCCTAATTCATACATAAGAGTCCAGAAGCATGTAGGACAGGAGGAAAATCTTAAATATGAAAATAAAAAATTCCTAAGATCTAAACCAAAAGAAACCCCAAAACAAAAGTTGTTCATCTGAGAATATGTGGTCAAATTATATATATATACTATAGATTATATATATATCCCTCCCCCCATGGTATAACTCATTAGTATTTGTTAAGAGGCTTAAAATCAACCTTTTGTTAAAAGATGGTAGATCTAACATAATCCTCTCCTTACAGTACTGTACTCTTCAAAACAGGAAACTGCTAAGTATACTACAATACTATGTATGTTGGTATGATAGATTTGTGGAGAGGGTTATAAAAATAACATGGTATTTTTATGTAATAGGAAAGTGCTAGATTTGCTATTTTGGTACCACTTTTTAGGAACAAGAGAGGCAGCCATGTCAAGATGTAATGACAAACTAGATACAAATTGATACTTTTATATCAATTTAACTAATTGCTATTAGTTAAAATACAGCCTATCTGGGAAAAGGAAGGGTGATGCAACTGAAGAAGTTAGAACCACCTATTGTTACAAGGTTTAGATTTGCTCCTAAGAAAATAAAAATGCTATTTAATCATAAGGGATCTTTACAGAAAGATGTTTTAGCGAGATCTTTCTGGCATTGGGGAAAAGGAAAAATTAGTAAGTTAGTAAGGAAAGATGGCAGAGAAAGAGCTCAACTGTAACTATGCTATAAATCCCTACGTAAGAAATGTTAACTAAAGTAGTGGCAAAGGAAAGCAAATGGGGAAAAAAAATAGAAAAATCTCATCTGACACTTAGTGGATGTGGAGAGTCAAAGAGAATATAGCCAAACAATAATTCCGCAGATTAATTTTTGTAACTTTTCAATCATCTCCTACCCATTTATTTTCTCCTTTACTAGAATGTAAGCTCCATGAAATATATAGCTATTTTATTTTGTTCACCAATGTCCCTAGCACTTTGACAGTACCTGGTACAAAGAAGGCCTTATCCAATTATAGTCTAGTTGAACATTCATTTTAAAAATTTAAGTCTGATTGTGTTATTTCTCTGTTCTACTCTCTGGTGGATCTCCATTATCATTCAAGTTAAGAGAGAATGCATTCATGCAATGCTTCTTTTATAAAGGAAGAGAGGCCTTTTCATTTCTTAAAAGAAAAAAATCAGCTAAACTCAATATGGTACTTAGATACAGGGTCTTGTTAAGTTGCTCAGGCTGACCTGAAACTTGCGATCCTCCTGCCTCAGGCTTCTGAACTGCTAGGATTACAGGAGTATAGTAATTACATTTGATGCATTCATCTCTGTACCCAGCATTCTCTAATCTTTTAATTGAAGTTGTATTTTCATTTCAGTAAAATAGTACATATTCATAAAATACTCCTATACTTCATGTTAGTTAGGTAAAGTCTGCTACAGTATCCATTTACACTGTTATCATTCTGCCAACCTCTCCTTACAGTACTGTACTCTTCAAAACAGGAAACTGCTAAGTAATACTACAATACTATGTATGTTGGTATGAGAGATTTGTGGAGAGGGTTATAAGAAATGTTAATATAATTTGGTACTACACATTGATAGCAATAATAAACTTTAAACTTCTTTTAAGAAGTACAGAGTAAAATACACTTTGTATAGATCTTGATATTATTTAGATTAAAAAAAAAACCCCAAACTCTGCAGTTACTGACTAATTGCAGTGCTAAGGATCAAACCCAGGGCTTCACACATTCTAGGCAAATGCTCTACCATTGACCTACACTCCTAGCCCTGCAGTTAATAAAAATACCAGTAGAAAACACCATGAAGAGTAAACACAGCTATTAGTATAAAAACTAACAATCCTGTTCAGTCCTCAGAACTTTGTGAAATGTTATTTTTCTCACTTTACAGTTGAGAAAAATCAAGACTTAGCAAGAAAAAGTAATTTCCCCCAAGGTCACAGAACCAGATATATTTCACACTGATGTCCATTTGATTCTACAGATTAAGCTTTTAACTATTAACACATTATTACCTTTTAGTTAATGAATGCTTTTTGAGAAAAAAGCAAAAGCATGAACTATGATAAATGTTAATATTTAGGCAGAAAAATGTAAGGATTAGTGCCCGGCATTTCAAGTAACAGGATAATTTGTGATAAAATTTCACTGTGTGGGTGGGTGCAGTGGTACATGCCTGTAATCACAGCAGATCAGGAGGATCTCAAGTTCAAAGCCAGCTTCAGCAACTTAGTGAGGCCCTAAGCAACTTAGTAAGACCCTGTCCCTGTCTCAAAATTAAAAAAAAAATAACAAAAAGGGCTAAAGATGTGGCTCAGTGGTTAAGGGCCCCTGGGTTCAATCCCCAATACAAAAGAAAAGAAGCACCGTATGGAATATTTAAAATAAGAAAGATATAAAACACCAATATAGTACAGTAGAAGAAGCAAATCAAACCACTTAAGAATCAGATTCTGGGCATAAAATGTGTCACTTATTAGTTATATGATTGGGGAATATAATTTCCTTCTTTAAGCTTCAATTTTTCCAAATCCAAATAGGATGATTTGATTAATTATATGAGGGTCATTTTACAAATAAAATCATGATTTATCCAAACTACAAAAGAATAAGCAGGATAAAAAGAAAATATATTGATCATACTTGGTTTTTATGTTATTATTTCATGTACAAAAATAACCATATAGTTTTAGAGATAAATAGGAAAATATAAATTAGACAACCATTATAGAAAAACCAATCATGTTTAGTTTGCATTCCTTTAATGAAATTTACAATTATCCAATTTATAAAGTTTACATTTTTTAAATGGATAGTGAATTTTATTTGCAAAAACAAAGCAAAAATACCTGTTTAGATGTGTTATTACATATCTGAATACATCATAGTTTACAGGATGAAATTTCTTAACAATTTCTTTCAAGGCATGAAGACGTTCTGCTTTTTCTGGGATTTCTGTAAGGGTAGTAAAAATTTTGTGTGAAACCCACATACTTAAAAAAACAATTAAGAATGTGTTTGAAACATATTAGGATAGGTAAACAACAACAAAAAGTAATTAAGAATCTGCTAAACTATCTAAATTAAGAAATTAATTCGACTGACATTATCTATACTGCAATAGCCTTCTTATAAGTCAAGCTATTCAAAGATCAAAGTGACTCAGCACTGATAATATAGGAAATGGTATATTAGCAATTTACCCAGGCAATTTATATAATTAGATACTGATTTAAAATTTACTAATTCTGTATAAATCTTCTGGCCTCTTAAAATTAATGCTACAGATAGAAAGTAAATATTTCAGGCTTTGTGGGTACAACTATTCAAAGCTGCAGGAGAAGCACAAAAGCAGTAATAAATGATATAACAAATGAATGTTGGCTATCTTCCAATAAACTTTTGAAATTAGAATTATGCATAACTTTAACATGTAATGAGATTTTCTTTTTCTTTTGCTGTAATATTCTGAAAATGGCCCCCGGGTCATAGTTGTCTATACACACTTACTCATAATCTACTTATTAAAAATTGTCATTTATAGGCAGTATAACCATTTTAAGATAATTACTCTTCAAAAAATATGTAAATTATGAAGTAGAATAACTGAAATGTGGTCCTGTGAAAACTGAGAGATAGAGATTGCTTTCCTGTTCTTTCATTTTGGAGGCTATTGTGCATGCTATATCATCATATCTAACAAATACTAACAAATTCTCATGTGTCACATTTTACCTCTGATCTAGCTCTTGAAAATGTCCTTAAGTAGGAAAGTTATGGTCAAGAAATAAGAAGATTTAAGCTATCAGCTGAACTCTTTTCTTAGTATACAAGCTACACATGTGATCATGTATAGGGCAACTATATTTTTTGAGAATATACCAAAATGGTTTTTAATTCCTTAAAAAAAGTTTTAATATAATCAAAACTATAATGAAGTAGTAAAAAAACTTGAAAACTACTAATAAAAAGAAAATGTTAAAAAGAAATATAAAGACAAATTTAGTTGTTAATGTAAATCAAGCAGTAGGTTACTTGATGCCCAAAATGATGCCTCATTTTCCAGATAAGAGAGTATCTGCTAACTGGAAACATCTGAATGATTGATATCGAAGTAGGAATTAAGTATCTCATGTTTCTGCCTTACCTTTTCCAAAAACTTAATATATGAAGCCAAAGTTAATTTCCTTCATTTAAAAAAATGTTTAAATGTGTGCAGACTCTACACAGGTTAAGATTTTACTGAAGTACATTACATATCCATTCATCTGAAGTATTTAATATTGTTATAGTGCTTCTGGAGTTTGAATTAAAAATATAAATCACAAAAGCATTTAAGTCATCTGGGAGGCTAACTAAAACTGAATATTCTAGGGGGCCACCCCTGGGGATCCCGATTTTATTTCAGTTTACAGGAAAACATCTTTAAGAAACAGAGTTCTAGTAAGATGAATTTTTATAGCTATATATTTGAGTGTATAACTTGATTTTTTAATATTTAGCAATCAATACCTGAAAACTAACATCAGCAACTTTCTCCCAAAAGTGTGTGTGTGTGTGTGTGTGTGTAGGTAGAAATTTATACTTACTTGCTGCTTCCAATAGCTCTGGATGAAGAGAATATGGAATTAAAGGATCTGGAAGATCTGCAAAAAAAGCTTTAAGAGCTCCAGCTACAGCATTTACTGTTACTTCCATTGAGACTAGATTGATATTATGATCTATAAAACAAAAATTAAAATTTTAACTGATTATAGAATAAGCTAAAAAGATACTTTTAGATCAGAAGATATTAAAACTTCTTATTAGCCACTTTTCTTTAGAGACCGAAAAACTGTATAGATAAGGGAAAAGAGAACCAAGCAAGAAGCACTTTCTGTTAACAATAAAAAATGCTGCTAGGTTTATTATATTGAAGAACTTTACTAATCCTTAGAAGAATTGTGTAAATAAATTATAATTTGAATTTTTTAACTTGTTGTTTTGTAAGGTTAATTATGTAACAAGTTTTTAAAATGAGAAAATTTAGAATAGCAAAAAAGAAAATAATTACCCCCATCACCTAGAAACAATAATTGCTTATGCTTTTAGGCATGTTCCCTTTCAGCTCTTTTCTGCTCATTAAGAACAAACAAACAAACAAACAACAGCCTAAACATCTGTCCATTTGATATTTGATTTCATTTTTAAAACCTTACTAAAGGTTATTAAAATTTCATGCAACTTTTTAAAACATTTTGTTTTCTCTGGGTAACATTTAATTGTCATATAATTTCAAATCTGCACAAGTTTTCAGAATAGTTCTAAGAAATCAAACATACCCTTAACCCAGAATCTCTTAACTTAGAATCTCCAAATGTTAACATTTTGCTCTACATAAACAACTTTAATGTTTACAAAATATTCCCTACATTGATCAACTTACGTGATATTTTTATTACTGAGCATTTTATTTTATTTAAAAATATTAAAAGATGCTCTACTAAATACTTTCATGTATAAAAACTTACTTCCTTAGGCTACATTCATTGGGTAATAATAGCTACCCAATGAACACACAGAAAATTCTTCACACGCATTATTTTCATGCTCACTCTTGACACCTACACTAGAGATGAGGAAACCGAAATTTAGAAAGATTAACTTTAATAGAGCACAAAGATAGTAAGTGGTAAGACTAGAAAACAAAGCCATGAAATTAAATCTAAGAGCCTTGGTATTAACTACTAGCCTGCCTTCATTATTAGAAATGAAATTTTACCAATTTGATATTATAAAGTCTAAACAGGTTCCCCATAATATTTTTTAAAATGGAATAATATATATAATAATCTTTGGCAAATCATGTATTTTTTGTACACATACATGCCACTCAACAACTGATATCTTGCAATTTTAACAAACAAATTATTTTACATGGCTATTAAGTATTCTACACTTACAGACACACCAGTGGTTCCCCCATTCCTTTTTTTTTTTTTTTAAAAAGTACCAGGGATTGAACCTAGTGCCTCAAACATACTAGACCAAATGCTCTGAGCTATATCCCAACCTATAGTTGCCCAGGCTGGCCTCAAACTGGCTATTCTTCTGATTAAACACTGGGGATTATAGACATGTACCATCACTCCTTGTACCCTACCATTTTTCTTTTTAGTTACAAAAAATGCTGCAACAAATGCCCTGGTATGTTTGTACAAAAGCTTCTGTAACATCAGCTGCTAAATGTAGAATTTCTCTAGTAAAGCTACCTGCTTTTTAATAGATATTCACAATTTTCCCTTAAAAGGCACCCACAATCAATAGTGCACTTGATACTTGATTGTCCTCACTATATCAAACAGTCTTCCACTCTGATAATATAATCTTTCAATAATTTTTTTCTTTTATCATTGATAGAAGCTAAGCATATATTCAAGTATTTACTGGTGACTTTCTTCTGATATAAATTGCTTCACCTAGCATTGGTATTCCTACACCATCATTAAGATTATACTTTGTCTTCGGGTTTTACATTTTTTATTTTGTTTGTGGTGCTGGGGATTAAAGAGTGGTTCTCTACCATTAAGAAGCATCCCTATTCATTCATTATTTTGAGACAGGGTCTCCTTAAGTTGCCAAAGCTGGTCTCCAACTTGCATGCAGTCCTCCTGCCTCAGCAGACCCTGAGGAGTTGGAATTACAGGCATTTTCCACTGGGACCAACTTTATGTTTTATCTATATTCTCATACAGAATTTTTATATTTTAAGTAGTTCAGTCTATATTATATTACTTTGGTTCATTCTTTCTAGTTTTTACATGAAGTTTAGGAACTTCCCTAATCCAATACTATTAAAAATATTCACTCATGGTCCCCCTAGTACTTTTGGCTTTCATTTAAATTTTATATATATATATATATATACACACACACACACACACACACAAAATTTACTTATGAAGATGAAGGGTATTTAGCTTTATTTTTATTCTTAATGGTAAATATCAAGGACACACCCCTCCAACAACATTTACATTGGATTATCTCTGATACAAAGATGCTAATCTATCATAAGTCAACTTATTGCTTTTCCAATTCTGGTGATGGATTTATAAAGTTCAGTCATATACTCTTATTTGTGATAGCTTATTGAATTAAGAATATAAAATATAGAAAGAATATGAAATATTGAAAGAAACTGAGAGTAGCTTCGCCATAAAATATCAATCTTGCCCCTCCAAATTTGTCTTGAACTATTCTCTGTAGTCTTAGAATATGACATAGTCTCGCATTATTACCAGAACAAAACCTATAAATTCTACTTCTTTATTCCATTGGCCCTATACCAGACTATTTCAATACTGAGGGCCTTCTTTTTCAGTACCTCCTTTCTTATAGCTCTTTATATGTACATAAATACTGTATTTTCTTGATCTACTACTATATTTTCTTGATCTACTTACTGCTTATTGTTTTCAATCTTTCTTCTCCTTCAAATGTTTTTTAAAAGTTTTTTTTTATCTTCAACTGCCTGATTCCCTACTAGTCAGTACTTTAATAACAAAAGGTTCTAAAATAATAATTTTCTTGCTAGTGTAAAAACCAGACTTTTGCCTGCTCTCCTGTACCTTTATTATAGCATCTATTCTATTTAATACTTCTAATCCCACTTTGAAACTCCCTCCTCTAAATATTCATTTCCTTAAGAAGTTTTCAAATAAAAAATCTTCCCACCATGAAATGCCAATAAGGAAAACAATAAACAATAATTTTATTGTACACAATTATCTTCCTACCTTGATCAAACTGCTTTTGAATGTTGTCTTGATCAGTTTTGTTACCACTAACACGGTACAGTCCTTCAGTACATAACCCTAAAAGAATAAAGAAATATACATGTTTTCAGAAACACATAAGAATATATTTAATCTTATGTACTTAGTGACTTACCAAAACATGATGATAAAATATTTTTACAGTAGAGGGGGTAGAGAGACAAGAGGGGAGGGGAAGGGAGGGGAGGGGGGATAGTAGAGGATAGGAAAGGCAGCAGAATACAACAGACATTAGTATGTCAATATGTAAATCAATGGAAGTGTAACTGATGTGATTCTGCAATCTGTATACGGGGTAAAAATGGGAGTTCATAACCCACTTGAATCAAAATGTGAAATATGATATATCAAGTACTATGTAATGTTTTGAACAACCAACAATAAAAAAAATTTTAAAAAAATTAATTCATTTATTAAAAAAAAAGAATAAAATATTTTGGGCTGGGGCTCAGCAGTTGCACAGCATGTGTGAGGCATTGCATTTGATTCTCAGCAACACAAGTAAACAAATAAAGGTCCATTGACAACTAATTAAAAAAAAAAGCATATGTGCTGCCGAAGCGAGCACAAAAAAACAACTTAAAAAAAATATTGAGCATTTTAAGTTTTTTTTTTTTTTGAGAGAGAGAGAGAATTTTTTAATATTTATTTTTTAGTTTTTCAGCAGACACAACATCTTTGTCAGTATGTAGTGCTGAGGATTGATCAAACCCGGGCCGCACGCATGCCAGGTGAGTGTGCTATCACTTGAGCCACATCCCCACCGCATTTTAAGTTTTTAATGAATTGATTTCTATTTGAAATCATTCAATACGTCCATTTCTGAACAAAATCAGTAGACAAAAAACTTTTCTCTATTCTTCCCAGTAATTGCAGCTTAAAACCCTGAAAACAGTATGTTAAAAAAAAAAAAAAAGGATTCTTGCTGGGTGCAGAGGCACACACATAATCCCAACAACTCCGGTGGCTGAGGCAGAAGGATCGCAAATTCAAAGCCAGCCTCAGAAACTTAGAAAGGCCCTAAGCAACTTAGAGACCCGGTCTCAAATTAAAAAAAAAAAAGACTGGAGATAAAGTTCAGTGATAAAGTTCCTCTGGGTTCAATCCTCAGTACCAAAAACAAAAAACCAAAAAATAACCCTCTTATAGTGGAGCAAAGGTGGAGTGATTTATGATCAGAACTTACAGGAAGTTTCTACATTTTCTTTTCTTTTGGCAGGGTGGCCAAAGGGGCACTCAATCACTGAGCCACATCCCCAGCCCTTTTTTATATTTTATTTAGAGACAGGGTCTCACTGAGTTGCTTAGCACCTCACTTTTTCTGAGGCTGGTTTGGAACTCATGATCCTTCTGCCTAAGCCTCCCAAGCTGCTGAGATTACATATGTGTGCCACTGTACCTGGATGCATTTTCTTTATGCCTCTTATAAGCCTTGGACAGGGCAACAGAGAGGCCAATAGCCCAGAAACACCAATGAGTACCAACAACAAACATCCTATCCCAAACTAAACAACAATAATATAACAAAAAGCCACCAACAAGAAAAGCTTGTTCTCTTTTTAGATCTGGAAAGGTACAGGATAGCAAGACAAATATATTTTTGACATTAATGGTTCCATACTCAAGCCAAACAGCATGAAATGATTCTCTTTACCCTTATCTATCAGTGAGGAGGCCTACTGGGAAGACTACAGACTTTCACCCTTGATCATTCATAACAAGGAGTTCTTTATCTTCCCTCAGTGTCAGTAGAGGATGAGGAGAGCCTAAACTTCTACTAATACCCAGAGGTCATAGATACCCTATCTTCCCAAATGTGGTACTAATCAATGGATGCAAAGTGGGGACTTGGAAATTTTCAACAACACCTGGCAGGGAGGCCTCCTCTCCTGCTAGTTCTGCTAAAACACAAGATTTAAATAAGATCCAAAGTCCCACAATATCCAAAATGGCCAGAATATAATAATAATAATAATAATACAAAAATTACTTATCATACCCAAACCCAAGAAAAATCTCTATTATTCTATTATTATCTGACATGGATTTTAGGGTAAGCATTATAAAAATACTTGAATGAGGAATTATGAACACACTGGAAACATGAAAATACAAAGAAGAACTAAATGGCAAGTTTAGAACAAAGATATTAACAGAAAAAAAAACTCACTGAATGGGCTTAATAAATAGCAGGAGAGAAATGACAATGAAAAGAATAAATGAACTCGAAGATTAATCAGTACAGATTACCACTCTAAGTAACAGGAAGAAATAAGACTAAGAAAAATGAAAAGACTTCAGGAATGGGTGGAACAACAAATAATCTAGCATTTGTCAATGGCCAAAAGTACAAATATAAAAAGGAAAGTGAGAATTAAAATGTACTTTGTGGTGTTGTATCAAAATTGGAGATATCAGCATAAACTCAGCTTTTAATATAGATAAGAGATACAGATCTAAAGTATGCAAATACATATACATTACTATGGTTTTGCTCAAGGCTATCCAGGAAAAAATATTTACACATTGGAATAAAGGGCCTGAAGCCTTAAACTTAACTGTCAACATGTGTATACAGAAGAGAAGCAATGGAACAAAATAAAAATATATGGGAACTTCTTATGTTAGCATTACAACTTTTCTATGAGCACAAAATTAGAGAAAGTAAGTTACAAAAAAATGTTACTCAGCTTTATATTTAGTTCTTATGTGAGAACTGCTAGAAATTTAAACAATTTTATTAGTTTCAAACTGGGCAGTTCATTGATTCATTTATAAAAGAAATAAAAATTGCACTGGTGATATGGCTCAGTTGGTAAAGTGCTTGCCTTGCATGCACAAGGTCCTAGGTTCAATCCCCGGCACCATCCCTTCAAAAAAAAAATAAAATAAAAATATGTTTATTTTTAACATACTTAGCTAATTATAGATAGAATAATGGCCAGTACTGTGTGCCATCTTTTCTAGGCAAAATATGCAGTTAGTCGATCAAACATTAATTAGATTTGGATATGAAGGTCTTTTATTGTGATCAACATTAAAAATCAGTTGAGATCATCACCAATAATATGGGTAAGACTGACTTAATCAATTAAAAAGCATTAAAAACAGAACTAAGGTTTCCTTGAGGAAGAACTTCAGCTATGGATAAGAGTATTAGTTCTTGCTTAAGGGTTTCCAGCCTGCATTTCCTGACCACTCATCTTCTGATTTTAGACTTACCTAACCAGCATTGCATAATCACTTAAGCCAATTTCTTACAAAAGTGTCTCATGTTATCTCCTACTGATTATATCTCTAATAATTAAAAGAAAAAGAACAAGAAAAAAAAATGGCTAATATTTTTATATCTTTCTGTTTCAGGCATTTTAATACCATACAGGAAATATTTTCTTTTAAGAACATATAATTTCCCCAATGCCTATTGACTTAATGCCTAGCTCTTTTAAGGTCTAGTTCCAACACATTGTTTTCCTTCTATTCTTTCATTTACATAACCTAAGTACTACCCCCAAACAACCTATAACTTTATTCTCTAGATAAAAATGTCTTGCCTTTGTGAATAAATTCTTTTATGAAGTTAATTCTTACTATTCCAAGTCTTCAGAACCCAGTTAACACATCCACCTCATTGACATGTTTCCTAATGCCAACTAGAAGCTATTTTTTCTTTCGTACATTCTGATAGCACTTTATTTATAACCCTTTACTACTTAGAACTTTCTGGATTGTATTATAATAGAACATTCTTCTACTCAGCAGTAAAGTATTAAAAGGAACAGCAGTATCCTTTTCAGAGTCCTCTGGTTCATTCACAGAGCAGTGGTTTTCAGCTGGGTGACATATCATACCTCAGGAAATACTTGGTGATGCCTAGAGATATTTTTGGTTGTCAAAACTGGAGGAGGGAGATACTATCATCTAGTAGGTAGAGGCCAGGGATGTTGCTAAACATCCCAGAAGGCATAAGACAAGCTCAAATGACACAGAATTAAATGGCCTCAAATACCAATCATGTCAACTTGAAGAATTTCTTACATTGTGATAAATAATTAGCAGTATTTGTTAAATAAATAGTATAAGGTATTTAATCTCCATGTTAAAATCTTGCTTTCTACACACTTATAAAACTAAGTGGTTTGAAAAAACAAAAAAAATACCAAATTATTTAGATATGAACTACTCAAGTTTTACTTAGACTTAAATCACCCAAAGTTTCTATCCTGGACAGCTAATCAATAAGGGGATCAATAATCTATCCCAATATACCAAAATTAAACATAAAAAATTTGAAAATTTATATTACCTTTAACCAAACATCACTGTAAAAATTCACTTGGAAAGGTCATTAACTAAGCTCATATGTACTCTACAGTATTAGAGATAACTGAAGATTTAAAATAGTTCTATTTGAGTTGCTTACAGATATAAAACTAGAGTTTCACTGCCTATTTCAGGTTGAAATATAACAGATGGAGTAGAAACAAGATGTGTCAATAATTCATATACTAATAGACTAATACGTTCTTGGGGGGTAGCACCATCAGAAGTGGTAAAGGAAATTCCTAAGCCCAGTCCTTTCACAAAAATGATTTGTGAGTGGCCGAAAGATTCATAATTACCTTTTGCAGAACTCTAGAATTTAGTTAAAATAACCCAACAATCAGAGGAAGTCTTGGTGAAGAATGAAGTTTTAAAATTACCCATTTATCATCTTCCATACCCCAGAATAGTAACAACTATGAGTAGAGCGTAGGCTGTTAAGTGCCAGAGGGAACAAGAAGGATCTTTTTCAGAAAGAACTTTGGTTGTGAATTTTAATGTGTCTGGTAGCCTCAAGAGTAAAAGGACTTGCCTTTGTTTCAACCACAAGTCTTAGAAAGTATTTTCATTTTTTTGGCTCCAGGCATTTAAAGAAACTATCAAAACATTAAACTAATGGAACACAGGCTTCAGTGGCAACAAATAACAAAGAATTCAGACTTTACAACAGGAATTTTGAGAAGCTGCTGAACAAGCAACCAACCAACCAACAGCAA